TTAACAATTTCACATCAATAACAACCCAATTACTCACTTGATAAAGCTTGGCATGAAAACGATACAATTCAGTGTGCTTGACCGTCACCGTCAAAAGACTCACAATCTTTATTGACAAATTATATACACACATATGTGAAACAGCCATACAATAGCAGTTTATAACTTTAACGATCGAATACGCTCGAAAACGGTCAAAAATGACGTTAAGGCCAAAAGAATGTCGAAATTGGGCGAAACGGCTGGAATGGTAATAAAATAACAAAGGTAGACCTAAACGGTCCAAAACGGCAAAAACAGTTGAGAAATACACTTGCGCGTGCGTGGAAATGAAAATGGTACAAAACGGGTTACACGATTATGCCCATAACTAGAGCTGTGGTCATCGGATCAAAATGTACTAGGTGGTGTCTCGAACCTTAGACAAAAGGTTACAACTTCCATGAAGACACCTCAACCCAGCTTTAGTGTATTCAAGTCACATTTGCAAAATATAGAACTAGAACTCCAAAGGCTAGTTTATCTTTCTCGTGAAAATTTGGCGGCATGCCCCTCGTGTTTACCCATTTTCCAGCCATTTATGGCTTCAATATTTTCTTCAAACAGTTCCAAAGTTACACACAAAACAATCTCATTACAATAGCCGTTCGATAGGCTCAAGGTCATACAAGTACAAAATCAAGCTAACGACATGTGCGGAAATGAAGTTTAGCAAAAGATAGATTTGACGTAATTTTACGTAACGGGCACAACTGAAACTACGCTTATCGGATTGGTATGAAATTTATACCATTTCGAAGCTAAGACAAAGGGCTACAATTTTGATGAAGATCACTTAGTCCAAAGTCCAGTGTAACCTAGTCAAAATCCCAATTCACAGAACCAAATTCCAACTAACCGGCTAGTTAACCATACTACCTTTAAATGGCCATATCTCAAGCTACCAAAGTTCATTTAAGACGTTCTTAGAGGCGTTGAAAATCTAAGACAAAGTACTAAAACTTTGATGTTTTGTCTAAAAGCTAGTTCAGTACGTATCAAGGTGAACAAATGCATCCAACTTAGCGTACTGTCAAAACTATCCACTGACTTTACTCCTAGGGTAGTCAGGGTATTTTCATCTTTTCACAGGCTACGTTGCTCCAATTGAGCTGAAATTTTGTAGGAAACCAGAAAATTCATTCTCTACAACTTTCATGATTTATGCTAAGCCTAATTCGGCCTTTAACATAGAGAAATGGAACCAGATAGAACTAAAGCTAAATTTTCCAGAAATCTAGAATTTTTGTTATTTCAAGCTACAATTCTCATTTTCACCTTGAAACTACCACTACTTTCACCTTTACAAGATCATATACCGTATATATGCATCATACAACACCTAACCCACAAGAAACCCTAACTCAAAAGTCATGCATCTAATCATCAAAATCACTTGAAACAAGCATCACAAGCACAATACCAACATTAATACCCTACTTAATCATGATTAATGGAGAAAGAATGGTTGATCAGCTATTATACCTCAAGGCACAAGCTTGCAAGGATGATCCTTCACCTCTCCTTGAAATCTTTGGTTCCTTAAGCTTCCCAAGCTTCCAAACTAGGGATTAATCGGTTTAGTTTTTCTTGGTTGCACTCAAATGGTTGGATTCAAGGTTAAATTTTGAAGAACTCTCCTCACACTCTTCCCTCTCCTTGCTCTCTGGCAAACCAGAAAAAAATAAGGGAAAATTAGCTGAAATGAGAGATAAGAAGGCAAGACAAAAAGGTTGGTCAAGGGCCATAGATGGCTGACACTTGTCACCACCAAAGCCATCCAAATTTCTCTTTCTTTTCCATGCATTTTGGGCCACAATTTTCGGCCATATGGCCGAGGATCCGGGGGATATTTTGAAAAAATATCAAGGGTATGTGGTGGTAAGGAAGTGGAGGTCAAGTGGGGTGTTTAATCGGTAGTGATCGATACCCGTCGGTTTGTGCCGATTTTTCTTAAATCGCGTATACTAGGGTTTTTACCTTCTAATCACTAACTTATTATTATCACTTCTAATCATATAATATTTTCTCATCCAAAAGTCACTCTTACCTACCAAATTTGATCATCACTCCGTACCAAATAGCCACACTACGAAAAAATGTGAAAACCCTAATTCGCTCTAACTTGAAAACGGACAACGAAAACCCTTACTTCTATATTTTTTTACACTTATTGTGGGGTGATTGGGTAGTAGGGCCATTATAAAATCATAAGTTCCAAATAAAAGGGGATTTTTAAGAAAAAAGTGAGGGGTTTTACAATTCCATAAATTGAATTTAGGGTTTCGGTTAAAATATGAGAAATTTGATAAAACGGTCAGTCACAAGTGAAACTAGGGTTTTGATTAGACGTTTAGGGTTTCTAGTCTTTTAAAATAAAACAAGGTTTTAAATCAAACCCAAAAAAATAACTTTAGTTTCTTCTTTAAAACAAAATAATGTTTTTAAAATAAAAATAAACTAAAGAAATCGTAATATCCTCTTTGAGACTAAACAAAAGATGATCCTAAGAGTTGGGGTATCACAATCTCCCCTCCTTCAAAGAATTTCGTCCTCGAAATTGCAATCAATGAACTAAGGGTTGGAATACTCGAATACCTCATTAACGAGTTCATCAGTAGTGATAAAGATTACCTCAAGAATTGGTCATTCTATGTATCGCAATCCAAGATCCAACCGTATAATCCTTATCTCGCAGTCTCAATGGTCTTTAAATATCTTGTAAAACGAGTAGAAGGAAATCTCAATACGATAGAAAATAGGGAAGGTACCTTCGGTGATTGCCAATGGGTCTGTCACCTCTTGGTTTCCTATTGCATAGGTCCTTGCCGGCACTTTCGATCGATTACCCGCGGCATTAGTCGACTTAGACATGTTCCCTTCTGCCCTTGGCAAATTTCTTTCTTTTGGCAGGTAAGGGCACTGAGCAATCAGATGCTCAACACTACCACATCGGTAGCATTTCCGTACCTGTCTTTTCTTCCAACAATTATCTTCCATGTGGTTAGTAGCCCCACAATATCCACATGCCATTCTAGGTCCGGATGTCGAACCTCCTTGTGAGGTACCCCTTTGGGTCTCTCTCCCTACCTGATTTTTCTTATCATTTCCTTGATTTGGGATCCTAGTGGATCGTAGTCCACCTATTCTTCGACCTTTCTTAGGTGGTGGCTCACTCCCCGAGCTCGGTCCCTCAATATAATTACTTGTATCTGGGTGCCTTCTTTTCTTATCATGAAAGGCCTTTACTTGACTCTTAGTACTTTTAATTCTTTGTGCCTTTTCAATCGCTTGACTATAAGTCTCCAATTCAGCAGCTGCCAGTGCTTCCTAAATTTCCACATTCAAACCCTGAACAAACCGACGAATTCTCCTTTGGTTGTCAGAGTGTGACGACCCCACCTTTCCCGAGGGCGAACCCAAGGGTATCGGCGGGTCGCCTGCCTAGCTCGCGCCAGGACTCGAAACACAAAACTAATAAAACGATATTAAACCAAAAGAGAACTGCTTATAAACTATACAACCACCAAAAGTTCTATTTACATCTTCAAAAGCATCAAGTCAAACCTCTCTAATATACTATAACAACAACCAGTAGAAGGTAGACCCTAAAGAGGGTCCTTATACAAACCACCAAAACAAAAACAAACATCCTAACTGTCCAACTATTACAAACGAGACCTAACTATACTAACGGCAGAGTCCCAAAGTTCCCCGCGTCGTCCCCTGCTAAGGAAAACAAAGGAAACGGGGTAAGCTAGAAGCTTAGTAAGTAAACAGGGGTAAAGACGTAAATTTCACATAACCACATTTACACAGTAGGAGTAAAGCAAAAGCAGAAAAATAACATCACATGATAAGGATACATATGGCTCCAAAGCCAAGTCATTTGCCATGCGTGATCTCCTGTCGACACTCCGTCGACCATAAATAAGGTCCGTAGAACTTCACTTGTACACCCACCGGACACTTTATCACCCTCACTGGCCAGTCACCTCACAAACTTGCCCGGGCGAACGAAATCACAAACTTGAGCTTGAGTCACAAGCTCGGGTCACAAACTTGGTTCGCAACTCGGTGAACCGGATTCACAAACTTGGTGACCTCAATCCAAGTTGGACTGACTTCGACCAAGCCCTAACCGGCTCGAATAGTCCCTCGAGGTATTGAGATCAGCCCCAAACTCACAAATTTCACAAAATTATTCAAAAGTTACCCTGAGCCACAAGCTCAAGGGTTTTAGTTCCAAAATTGCTCATATACACAAGCCATGTACAGATATGTGCGCAAGTTAAGGTCTAGGTCGAGTGCGATAAAGTACACCCTCACCTAGGTACCCTCTTCATACAAATCGAAACGCATAAGCAACGAACACACAAGAGCGGCCTGAATACTTACCCAAAATATCAAAAGTAGTACTAAAGCAAAATCGCTTCGCGCGTGTTCGCTAGTAGTGGGCCCCACCGGCTCCGCCTAGCTCACCACTGTCTGAAATAGAAGATTGTGTCACAATATATCACAAACGGACACTAACGTACTTAAAACAAGCAATACGGCAAAATTGGCACATGCGTGCACGCGGAACGGCAAACGGAAACGGCCAAATCTGCCATCTCCAACTGTTTTGACCAAAGATTAGGCTAGGAATGTCGGATCAAGGTACATGAGGTACCGTTGCGAAGCTGAGAGGAAGGGTTACAATTTTCATGAAGACACCTCCAACTGGATCCAAATAGAAATAGGTCGAAAGTATAGAAAACCGTTCCAGAAATTCGCACTCTAGAGTAACGAACAGGGTATGTTTGCTGGACCATAACTCCCATCTCACAAATTCAAATCAGGAAATTCCAAAGGCATTAGAAATCTGAGACATAAGGTTAAAACTTTGATATTTTGGCCAAGACCTGAATCCACTCAGAACAGAACGAAAGTTGAGTGTCAAAGTACCCGTCAGAACTGTCCGGAAACAAGGCAGTTCTGACGATCAATTTTGTTTTGGTCATAACAGGAGCTACGGAACTCGGATTTCGACGCACTTTATACCGTTTCGAAGCCAAAACCAAGATCTACATTTCTTATGAAGGAGTCAAAACCCAGATCGCACAGGATAAAAACCGAAAAAGTCACAGGCAAAAGCTAAACTAAAAAAACGCACAGAATCTGATGTTCAAAACAGGCTTGAGTATTTCATCTATAACTCAGGATATGGTAATCCGATTGACCTGAAATTTTGCAGGAATATTCATAACATATAAGGATACAACTTTCATGTTTTGAGGAACTTCTGAATCCATACCCAACATCAAGAAAAAGAAAGCCGAAGTTCGAATCCTGAACTGCCCCGATTTTCCAGTTTCGCCGGTTTTGCGCGCCGCAACCGCACGATCCGTTCCTATGGTTCTTACGCGAATTTTCTAACCAAATTGATCCCTAACAACCATACTTATATCAGTCTAAGAGTGGTCTAAAGTTCCTTCACAAGTTAGCCCAAGATCACCAAATACTAACCATAATCCTTAATCTAGTTTTACTTGCACCATAGAACTTGTTCTAATCATCCAAACACACAAACCCTAACTCAACAGCCATAGGCTACACTAAACTAACCTAATGGAGTCTAGGGTTTCTTAACCCAAACCAGATTTTTGCTAGAAACCAACCAATCAAGTGAGGCAATTTATCAAACACAACCACTACAAGGCAATTTCCCAATCAAAACAACTAAGGAAAGCATTAAAGCAAGAAACCTAAATTTTTCTCTCTCTTGACCGAAATTTCCAGCAGCATAAATCACCAAAAATTAACCATAAAACTTCAATAAAACATCAAATTCACCATATAAATCCATAATCATAACATACCACATCATTTCCATAGCTTAGAAAGTAATACCCCAACATTTTAACTTTCAAAGAAGATGATTTACCTTTGATTCAAGCTTTGTAGATGATCACCCACAACAATCAAGTGCTCAAGTTGTTTCTCCAAGATCCAAACTCAAGATTGAAGAGCAAAAATGATGCACCAAAGCAAGCTTTCCTTTTCTTTTTTCTTTCTCTTCCTCTCGGCTCTCACTCTCTCTCTTTCTCTTTGTTTTGTTTTGTTTTGTTTTGTCTTGAGTAGCCTACAAGTCTTAAGGTAATAATGGTCAAGACCATAGGAGATATTTATTAAGCTTAGCCAATCACATAAAAGCTCCTCAATTGCACTTTTAACCCTTGCACTCCAACTTTCTCTTTCTTATACATTTTCCCTCAAACATTTGATAATCTTTCAATTAACTCCATAGGTCATAACTTTTTTTTTTTTTAAATAAAATGGGAGAACCCCCCAAATTTTATTCAACAGCAACAAAATCATACGACGAAGGAAGCAAACCCTCCCTTCAATAAATGCCAGAAAAATAAGAAAATACCTAACAACTAACGTTTCGAATATATGGATAGCCCATTGCATCCAAGTTAATCAACGACCGAGCCCTACTTGGAAGCAGATGATGAGATTGGAAAGTAACAAATGGACTCTCCAAAGATAAAGCCGCTAGGCTGTCTGCCACAGCATTCGCCTCACGATAGATATGCGTAATGGTCCCCTGCACCTTACCTAACAACAACCGAATCTGGCTTAAAATGCTACACAACGGCCACTTACCAATCGATTGACTAGTAACCAGCCGGGCCAACACTAGAGAATCTACTTCTACTAAAATATCTAACAACCCTGTCCCAACACACCACTGTAGACCAGTTAACAACGCTAACCCTTCCGCATGTACCACCTCACATTCCCCGAACTCCTTATAAAAAGCACCAAGCATCTTCCCTTCAAAATCCCGTACCACTCCTCCGCCTTTCGCCAACCCATTTGACACACTTGCGTCGGTGTTCAGCTTGACTGCCCCTCGAGGAGGCTTCCTCCAAGATATAGCTTGCGGACAGAAAGATTTATGTGGTTTGAGCTGAAAATACCGTGCAAAGTAGGTATCCGTATCCCCCTCCAACTGAGACCTTTTCAACATACGCGCAGCCCCCAGAGCAACCAACCACCCATTGATATCTGAAATAACTTTAAAGCAAGCCGAGGGAACATTACCAAACCGAGCGTCATTTCTACTACGCCACAGAAACCATAACACTACAACAGGTATAACACACCGAACATGATCCAAACGCCCACTCCCAGAAGATTGAAACCACACCACTAGCAACGAAGAAACGCATGAGAATGAAGTCCACGGGATACCGCAAGCGCGGAAGAAATGCTTCCAGACAGCACTTGCCAAGTTGCCCTGCACAAAAATATGATGCAAAGACTCCTGTGAATCACCACAACAATCACACTTGAAAGCCAATGAAAACCCTCTAGAACGGAGCTTGTCATCCAACGGCAGAAAACCAGCCAAAATCCTCCAAACAAGGTAAGACATCTTTAACGGCAACAATGGACACCAAATTCCGCGCCACACCAAAGACAGGTTACGCCGCTGTCTAATTAAATCCCATGCAGACGACACAGTGAACCTACCATCCATTGAAGGAGCCCAAACCAATTCATCCTTAAGAGCTGGATCAACACTTGTCTGCAAAATATTATTAACGACCGATCGAGGAAGAACCTGGAGCAAACGTTCAATATTCCACCCTATAGAGCTATAGAACTCAGCTACCAAACAATGAGGAGGCTCCCCATCACACTGGCTACTAAGCGGTTCGTCAAAAAGCCAACGATCGTACCAAAAATCGATGAACCCCTCACCAACACGCCAACGAAAATTGGCTTCAGCAACAGCCCGAACTGAGCAGACCCGCTTCCATATTGCTGACCCAACACCAACCTCTGCCGAGGACGGATGTTGGTCACCAATGTATTTTCGATGCATGAACCTTGCCCACGTAGAATTCTTTTGACGTATTCTCCACCATAATTTCATTGCAAACGCCTTCTCTACATCCAGCAGTGATCTGAAACCCAAACCCCCTTCTGCGACTGGAAAACATAATTTCTCCCAGGAAGACCAATGAATCCGTCTCCCATCCTTGCCATCCCACAAAAATGCATTAAACAGCCTACCTAGCCTTAAAAAAATCCCCTTCGGTGGTTTAGAAACCTGCAATAAATAAATAGGCATTGAGTTCAACACATGCCGAAGCAATATGATCTTCCCCCCAGCAGACAAGAAGCGGGAACTCCAATGAAGAAGCTTTGCTCTAACAGAAGCAAAAACTCCATCAAATAAAATACTCCTACTACGGCCACGAAACAGTGGCACTCCCAAATATCTCACAGGCCAAGATTGCCCTTGAAACCCCGTAGCTTGTTGAATTAAAGTGATGGTATCCGAAGGAATCTTCGACGAACATAGAAACCTACTCTTGGCAAGATTTATTTTTTGGCCAGAAAGAATTTCATACTCTCGCAACAAGGACGACACAGCTTGCAGACAGTCAACCGATGCCCGTGTGAAGATAACCATGTCATCAGCAAACGCAAAAAACGGGACCAGCCCCCCCTTACTCAAAAATCTAAACCTCGGAGTGTTAGCAACCAGCTGCTGAAGTCTCCGTCCAAGGAATTCCGATACAAAAAGGAAAAGAGTAGAAGATAGAGGACCCCCCTGACGTACCCCTCTAGTCGATTTGAAAAAACTCGTGAGCTCCCCATTAACCAATACAGAAAACCACACGTTGGATATTAACCGAAAAACCAGATCTACCACACCTTCCTTAAAGCCAAATTCACGAAGCATGTACAAAAGAAACCCCCATTCCACCCTGTCATAGGCCTTCTCCATATCCAATTTCAGAATTACATTAGGATGACGCAATTTCTTGTCCAAATCCAGAATTAATTCCTGAGCGAGGAGGACATTATCCTGTATCCCCCTGCCCGGTATAAATCCAGTCTGAAACTCCAAAATCAACTTAGGAAGGAGTGTATTAATGCGGGTAGACAAAATTTTCGAGATGATCTTCGAACTAACGTTAGATAAGCTTATTGGTCGAAAATCTTTCCACTCACATGCACCCTCCTTCTTAGGCAGTAATGTGATCGTGGTACTTGAAAATCCGCGGGGCATCGAGGCACCAGCGAAGAAATCCTGCACCGCATCCATGAAGTCGTCCTTGATACACTCCCAGCAACTTTGATAAAAAACCCCCTCCAAACCCATCGGGTCCCGCAGCACTCTGAGAGTCCAACGAGCATATAACCGTGTGAACTTCTTCTACCGATGGAGACTTCAGCAGCATATCGTTCTCTTCTGGCGTAAGTTTAGGCAGCTCAAGTGACGGCCTGATGCCAGAACCTGCAGCGCGGTCTGCTGTGAACAACTTGGAGAAAAAATCACTTGCTGACAGCTTAATATCCTCTATACTATCAAACCAACTGTCGCCACTTCCCCTGATGCGTGCAATAAAATTACAACTGCGTTTTTGCTTAACTGCTGCATGGAAAAAAGAGGTATTAGCGTCACCCTCTTTGATCCATTTAATCGCAGCCTTTTGTCTCCAAAATTCACATTCCAATGCTAGCTCCCGAGAATGAAGTGCCCTAGCCTCGTGAACTGCCGTCCTAGACACCGTATCCCGATTCTGATCATACAAAATTTCCTTGGCCAATAAATTGTCTGCTGCCTGTTTGACCCTTTGAGAGACATTCCCAAAAACCTCCACATTCCATCGAGATAAAGCTCTTTTAACCACCTGTAACTTATTAAAGAATTTCTGCATTCCCACTCCAGAAACAGACTGAGACCACACCAACTTGACTGTTTGTTGAAAACTGGAGTGACCGCGCCAGACATTGAGGAACCGGAATGATGATCGCCTTGTCGATGTACTACCCCCCTTGACTAGCAACGGACAATGATCAGACCGCCCCCGTTGAAGATGAGCTACTCTAGTCATCTCAACATCTGCGAGCCAGGCGGCATTAACGACCGCTCGATCCAGCCGCTGCCACATGCGACCATTGGTCCATGTGTAAGCAGACCCATCGAATTGAACTAGAAATAAGCCACTGCGATGTAAAGCTGAGTTGAATTCTTCCAAATCACGCATATTCGGAGAAGATCCTCCAATCCTTTCCTCCACGCAAGTAATAACGTTGTAGTCTCCTTGTAGACACCAAATTTTGAAATAATTTATATGCTTCGTTTTAGTGATAAATCTTGTCTATTAATTTTTGTTAATTTCATGATTTTGTTTTAGATGGTTTGCATTTTTGTTCATTATTGTTTGTTTTGCCCTTTTTAGGTGTTATTTTATTTTATTTTAGTTTTATTCACTTTTTAGTTTTTTTTAGTTTTTGTTTTTTAAGTTTTAGCGTAGAAAATCATGGAAAAAAAAGAGAAAAGGAAAGGAAAAATCATGGAAAAAAAGGGAAAAATTACAATTTTTTTATTTATTTGGTTTTATTTATCTATTTTAGTCATTTCTACTTAATTTCTCTTTTATTTTTTTTTTGTTTGGTTCATTTAGAAAAGAGAAAAAAAAGGAAAAACGATGAAAAGGGAAAATATAAAAAAAGAAAAAAAGAAAAGGAGAAAGGAAATGGAAATTACATTTTTTGTTGTTTCTAGTTTATTTATTTTTCATCCAATGTTAATTAAATTGTTTTTGTTATTTATTTTTATTATTTTCAATTTTTGTTTAATTCGTTTAAAAAAAAGAAAGAAAAAAAAGAAGTCGCGTGTTATGCAGCAAAAGCTGCGTTTTGTGCCGCAAGATTGCAGAGAAGTTGCGGAGGGCCTGGGATGAAATTTTTGGCTAGTAAAGGACCAGGTGTCTAGGACGCCTGGAGGGGGGATTCTAGAAGGGAGCTAGGGTATTGAGCAAGAGAGAGAGGAGAGGGTTTTTGGAGCCGCAAGAAAGAGAAACAACGGCTGAAAGCTAGAAAGAGAGAAAAGGAGAGAAAGGAGGCGCGGCCGTGGGGATTGGGAAAACAGAAAGGGAAAACAAAAAGGAGGGCTTCGGCTGAGGTCAGAAAAGAAGGGAAAGGGAGAGCTAGGTAGAGAGAGGAAGGTTTTGACATCGGATGAGAGCTAAGGTTGGCGGCTGGGCAAAGGAAATGGCGGAAGAAAGGACCAGAAATTTCCAGATTTTCGCGTGGTCTTCATCAGAACCAGCAGCAAGTCCCTTTCGATTCCTGTGGAGGACGATCATCTTCAGTGCACAGGCTTTTCAGATTCGGTGTTAAAGTCTTCAAGGTAGCCTTTTCTTTCCATTTTTTTCTTGTTCAAACATACTCAGATCGATGTTAATATGCCACAGTATATGTTTTTTCCTGGTTCCATGTCTTTCTTGCTTCGGCTCTCCTGGTTTCCTGCGAGTTGTTTTTGTACGGAGGTTGTCCCATGTTTTGTTTAGTTGGCAACGAACCCATAGCATCGGTAGAAGGTTTCATAAATGAATATAGGTTTAAAATTGTCAATTGAGTTTGCTGTGGCCAGAGCATCAGATTTTTGCCGAAAAATTTCTGTCAAGAGGATTGCATGTCTGTTTTATTTGTTTGGACGTTGATTTTTCTGTATTTTGTTGTTCCGAATCTTGCTTTGATGGTTTTTGCAGCTTGGTGACTGAAAAGTAAGTTTGTTTAATGTTGGTTGTATGCGTTGTTTGACTGGGATATCATGAATATGCTTGCTATCAAGATTATGTTCAGAATTTTGATGGGAATTTAGAACTAAAGGCCATCAGTTTTCTTGCATCTTGTTTGGGTGCGTTTTTGCTGGAAGTTTCAAGTCATAGTCTAGCATACATTGAGTTTATTTTGCTGCGCTGTCTGACCGAGAGTTTGTGGGAGTTTACTCTCTCCATGATTTCAAGTCCTCGCTTGTATGCTTGAATGAGTTGGGTTTGGCTTGGGTCAGTTTTGTGTCACGTATATTGGAATTTATATTAGGAGTCTAGTTGTGGTAATGGTAATCTCGTTGTTGCTGAGTTTCTTGTTTTACATCTAGGCTGCATTTTCATATCTAGTAGCACTATTGGACCTGTTAGGAATAGGTAGGTGCATCTTGTGTGTTGCCAATAATGCTGTGATGAATCTTTAAGCAAGTTCTGGTTAATAAGCTTGGGTTAAAAAAACGAAAATCTGGTCTACCTTGAGTGTTTTTTTTTGCGGTAAGAAGGCAGGCTGAATGTTTGCATGGGTTTTTGGGTTCAAAAGAAAATGTTTCAGTTTTTCTTTGTTTTATGGTAAGACAATGGCAGTTCATGCACTTAGTTCCTCCCTATTTTATGGCAAGATAATGCTAATCCATACACTTAGTTCATACACTTAGTTCCTACCTGTGATAATCTGCTTTATGCATGAACAAAAACCATCTGCTCACTTTCATTCATGAAACCAGAGGAAAGTGAGCAAAGTTGTTGCAAATCCTCACATTGCTTTTCTGCATTCAATGCTCAGTGGTTTTGATTGTGTTTGGGTGAGATTAACAACATAGGCTTGGGGTCATTGCATTTGTGTTTAGTTTGGTTTGAGTTGTTTCATCAATGTGTTTCGGTTGGAATGAGAAAATTGCAGCTAGCTTAGAATTGCTAAGAGCTTCATAGCATTGTTGAACTCTGTTGCAGAAGGTTTTTCACGTCATGTTGCATGCATTTTGCATGAAACTATTTCTGAAAATTGCTCTTTAACCCCCCAAGTCCCTTTTTGTTCTACTAAGGCCCAAGTAATTGGAACATTTAATCAATTTGATCCTTCTAAGTTTCTCTTTGTGCCACAAAAGCCCAAGCATGTTTTAGTATCTTGTAATTAAGTCCTAAAATCATTGCAACTTCAATCATTGTTTGGCTTTTTCTTTATTTTTGGAATCTTTGAAGTGCTTAAACGATTTATTTGGACTTGAATGATTTGAGTCGTGCTTGCTTTTGGGTTTTTAGTAGATGTTATGCTTGTGGATTGGATGATCATGCCTTTTGCCTTGGTCTTTAAGTAGTTTTGACTTCATTAAGTTGTAATTGGGGGAAAATTTGATGATTTGGTGGATTCCAATTGTTTTGTTTATATCTTATAATTAAATTGGTGCGTTAATCCTTTGCTTTGAATGGTTTTAGCACATGTTATCCCATTAGTTGGTGACTTAGCCCAGTTTAAGTCTCGTCCATTTAACACTACAAAAGGGAGCGGTATAATTCCTTTTATCTTTTTTGTTTCTCTTATGTGACTCAACGTGCTAAGTGAATTGCATGTCTACTTTGCTTTCCTAGCTTTTCTTTAATGCCTTTTACTTATGTCATTTACTTTTTGTTTTCATTAAGTTATTCTTATAATGGGGTATGTGTACACCTCTTGGCTTGTAATAGATAGGGCTGTGGCGAGCAATTTGGTCCATTTTTCCTTTCCCCTTTTGTTTTAGTTAGTGAATGTAATAGGTTCATTAGTTTGGTTGCATGCCTACATGTTAAGTGTTTAATCGCTTTATTAGGTCCTTGCATCTAGTCAAGCATGCTAAGTGTTATGTGCTATGTGTTTATAAGTGATTCGCATGTCTACTCGCTTTTTATAGTGTGGATGAATGGAATGGATGAACGTGCGTCACCATACTAGTCCAACGCTAGTTGTGGCTTCTTTTATCGTTTCCACTAGTCCAACGCTAGTCGGAATTCATAGAATGGGCTAGTCCAACGCTAGACCCTTAGGGATTTCCCCTCGTTAGTACATGTTTGCCTGTTCACTACATATCATGCATTTTTCCTTAGTTTTATCATTTGGTATGCTCCTCGATTCCCCTTTCCCCTCATTTTAGGTCTTGCATCTCATGCTAGTTAGGGTTCATTTGCTTGAGAATCCCCTTCTGATAAGGGAAACGAGCGAGTGTGGCTACTCGATAGCCTTAGCACGCTAGTTTTGCTTTCTAATCAAAGGGAAAATCGAAGTCGAAAAAGTTAGGAGTCAACCCCCGCACCCGACTTGTTGCATTCCCCTAGGGTCATACTTTCATTTTTATCACGTCCATACACTTTTAACCCCAATTTTGCACATTTCTCACTACATTTTTCCTATCACGTGCTCATTTCCACCTCACAAATGAAATTCCACTTTACCTTATATATTTATTATTCTATTTTCACACATTTGCACACAAACACTTGGATTTTTCATACAATTTCACACATGCACCTTTCCATACACTTGCACACAAACACTTGGATTTTTCCATACAATTGCACACATGCACCTTTTTATACACTTGCACACTTGCACTTGAATCATCATTTGCATTAATCGACCTCTATAAGGTTTTCCTTTATTGGCCGCCACAATTCATGTGGTTGGGATCAAAAACCTTACAAGAGACATCTTAGAATCTAGGGTTTTGCATTTCATGTAGCACATCCAAATGTAATAAATTCTTTGGTTAAAACAAGAAAATCTTTGATTAAATCACGCAACTAGCCTTGGCTAGGTCAAAGGGGTGCCTTGGATTGTATCCTTGCCTTCCCCTTTGTCAAATGTGACTCCCGAACCTTTTTCCTTGGTTTACGTGGACTAGAAGTCTTTTAAAAGGGGTTTCTTACTAATTTTTTTCTCATTTTTTCTTAAAAAATTCATTTTTTGGGTGACTTGGTACACCTTAACTCATTACCAAGTGGCGACTCCGTATTTTGTTTCAAAAAAACCCTTTTTAAACTATAATTTTGGGTCAAATCGTCGCATTTTCAAAACCCCATTTAGACCCACTTTTCTTTTAAATTACGATTCATTTTCCAAATCACGAAATACATTTTTAAACCATTTATTTATTTATCAAAAAATGGGGCGCGACAGTTGGCGACTCCACTGGGGACATTCGAGAGTCCGAGCAAATTTGATTTAATCAATCTTTTTCTTCTTTTAATCTTTTCATATATCACATTTGGGTGTTTTAGGGTTGCATTTTTCCCTTTTTTAGGATTTTGCATCACTCGCGTCTCAAATTACTCCCTCACTCACGAATGTATGATTGGTTGATTGGATGTATGTTTACTTACTTATCTCGCGCTTGCATTGCATTTGGGGGGGGTGTCACCTTTAGAGCCTTGTGTGGTTCTCAACCCCTTCCCTCAAAATA